AATACTTCAAGTCGAAGGATAGTTACACCCGTGGTCGCGCTAAAGATTCTTAGAGCATGAACTAAAAGTTCAAGCAACATCTTTAGGATGGGTCAGTCCGGCATCCTATTATCTCTAGATAATATCTGCCCATGTGCGGATGCGAACACACCGTCATTGACTATGAGACTAAGTCAAACATCCAACACACACTAGTCTCACATGCATTAACGATATCCCACTCTCGCTAATACTCGACTATGGACATTTAGATAAATATTTATTTCAAGATGTTAGTCTCATCAGCAGAAAAACACTATCTGATAAACATCTTTTAAATATAAATCTAGGAATATAATATTTGTTTACATTAGCATGAGATGTGTAAACATATTATATCTGCCTATACATGATAGAATAACGATAAACAGTTGGCCATCAGGGCACAATTCCAACACTCTCAACGTGTCTAGGAACACAAATACACTCAAGAACGAGACTCTCTTATAGAGTAGATAATGAGTAAACTAAGTACGCTCAAGAACAACTCAAACTTCACACGTATTGGCTCTAAAAAGCTATGGAAATAGATGTTGTTTGAATGCAATGAAAGTAGGAGAATTGTGAAGTAAATTGATGAGAAAAGCAGACCCAAACACCCCTTTTTATAGTGCCAAAGTAGGCTCCAACGGACCAATACATTAAAGGTGTGAATGGCTTGATTTATTGGATTGAATAAATTGTGGATCTGCAGGATATTGGCTTCCTAGCGATGTATGGACATTACCCATCGCTGGTAGGCCAAATTTCCTTCAGTTTTGAAGCCAACGGTCACCTACTCATCGATGGGTACATGCTTCCCATCGCTGGGTGGGAGTTTGACTTCCAAACAAGGAAAGAATCAACCTTAAATGACTTCCAACGGTCATGCCTTCCCATCGATGGTTTAGCCTTCCCATCGCTGGGTTCCCATCGATGGGGTAAAGTCCCCATCGCTGGGTAAGGTCGTTCTGCATTGGGGTAAAGTCCCCATCGCTGGGTTCCCATCGATGGGTAAAGTCCCCATCGCTGTTTGGCATGGTTCTGGAACTTGGTTGGGCTAGAGGACCGCTTACCCATCGATGGGTAGTTCTTCCCATCGCTGGGTGGGTGGTTAGTCTAAAACCCATGGTTTTTGCCTGAACCACGGCCTAGCCAACCGATGCAAAAACCGACTGAAAACTCCAAAGTTCTTCAAAATAAAAACCAAGTGTTTAAAACACTTATTTGATGTATTTGGCTAAGTAATCAAGTGAGACACTTTAAAAACCACATCATTTGGGTAAAACCCACGGCTAGCCAAGTTTAAGCCGTTTTACGTGGTTTTGCCAAATGACCAAAAACGAAAGGTGGTTTTCAAGGTGTTTTTGTTGGAGAACTGTTTTAACAATCCAAGTAGTAAAAACCAATCATAAAATGTTGAAAACCACTTGGTTGGTTCGGACGCCAAAAACCAACACCGAAAACTGAATGCTGAACGCCGGTTTCTAAAAGCCGAACACCGGATGGCTTGGTTTTTTGTTTGGGCAAACACCAAGTGTTTTTAATGTTTGAAACATGTTTGAAAAACATTTTTATGATGTATGAGATGCAATAAGAGAAGTTTAGCCTAAAGAGCCAAGCTGCAAAGGTTGAGTCGGTCTTGATCACAATTGACCGACTCAACGACACTAAGACTGCGGTCTTCGTTCTTGGTCTTCTTTTAGATCTTGTTCTCATCTTCGTTCTTCGCCTTGTATGTTCAATGTTTTATCTTGTTCACGGCGGTTTGCCATTATCAAAACCTGTCATAAAAACAAACACGTCTTTAGTACAAAAACGTGACAAACCCGTGTTTCAATACACACACACACACACACAGATATATATATATATATATATATATATATATATATATATATATATAAATTATATTTGTGGATATATACTCTCTCACTACATCGGAATTCTCTCTACACATGACCGGAATACACGCCGGAGAGGGGCAACAGCCCCCTCCGGCCAAAAGCTTTAATATCCCTCGCCAGCAACAGGCTGGCACTCGTCAAGCCAAAAGCTTCCTGGCGGCAGTGACAGGCTGCAACATCCCCAGCCAACAGATAGAGCAGGGAAGGCCAGTTATCAAGCATAAAGGTCTCCCATGCGTTAGCTTCACGAAGGAAGAGGTGGAAATCCTTGCTGAAAGATTTAACAGAGCTCTGGTTGGTTCCTTCTTCCATGGCAGACCTTCACTCCCTTTTATCCGTTCTCACCTGGAAAAGATAGGCTTCACAGACTTCTCAGTCACACTGCTAGATGAAACCCATGTGCTGCTTCATTTCACCAAGGACGAGGACTTCTTAAGGTGCTTCAAAAGATATGAATGGAAACTTGGAAGCTTTGAAATGAAG